ATCCCGAAGGCCAACTTCTGGAGGAGTGAATCTTGACCCCCAAAAGAGAGGGGAGATCAGAGGACTCGAGACTATGTAATAGCATCCTGATCCACCATTTAGCATAAGCATCTCTGGCCGGAGGCCTCGGCCTCAGCGCACCGCAGAGGAAACGTGTAAGAAGAGGGTGTCTTCTGACTGAATGGCCACCGAGAGAGGCGTGGTAGGCCACAATGGCTGCCACGAAGACCTCTAGGGTGGAATGGGTCAACCCTGCGGATAAACAGGCCTGCAGGAACTCCAGAACTGTACCAAACGGGCAGTTAGCTGGGTCGGGCTGGCGGTCTCTGCAGAAATACAGTTTCCTCATAGAGGGAGCTCTGGATGGAGGATAGTCTCAACAACCTTGGTTGAGAGACCGGAAGTCATGAGTTGTGCCTCCTCAGAGGCCACACCAACAGCTTCTACAGCTCCGGGCGGGGACGCGCCCTCCGCCTGTGAGAGGAGATCTCTCCTGACTGGAATCTCCCCTAGAGCGCCGTCGAGGAGAGAAATCAGGCCTGAGACCCAACTCGGCCCGGCCAGAACGGGGATACTAAGAACAGACGGGCCCCGTCCCGGTGCACTCTCCAGATCTCTCGGGAGCAGAAAAATCGGAAGAAAGGCGTACTGACGAACCCTCGACCACGTCTGTACCATGGCATCCAGCCCCAGTGGAGCTGGATGAGTCAGAGAGAACCAGAGGGGACAGTGTGATATCATATGAGTCGCAACAGGTCCACCTGAGCCTGAGTTTGCCTTGGGACCACACAAGTATCTGGTGCGCCAGCTTGTACAAGGGGCGCGAACGCAGAACTCCCTGGTGGTTGATGTAAGAGACCACCGCTGTGTTGTCGGTGCGCACCAACACATGGTGACCTCTTAGGTCTGGGAGAAAGTGTTTCAGAACTCGAAACATGGCCAGCATCTCCAGACAATTGATATGCCACGTCAGATGGCGACCACTCCACAGACCGTGGGCAGGGTGGCCACTCATGACTGCACCCCAACCGGTGAGGGATGCATCCGTCGCTAGCGTACGCGGCGACAAGGAGCTCCCAGCACCGGGCCCTGAGACAAGAACCAAGGTTTCCTCCACATGTCTTAAGGCACGTAGACACCTCCGTGTGACCTTGAGCATGCAAAGTGGGTTTCCCCTCGGGGAGAGCCCCTTGTTTTTGTGCCACCACTGTAGGGGTCTCATGTACAGCAGGCCAAGTGTTATCATGTTGGACGCAGCTGTCATCAGCCCAAGCAGTCTGGAACTGCTTGACAGTGAGTGACCGGCCTTCTCTTACTCTTGCGACTGAGGTGAGGATCAACTTCATCCGAGCAGGAGATATACATGCCTGCATCGTGGTCGAATCCCACACCACGCCCAGATAAGTGGTTCTCTGTACTGGAGAAAGCACACTTTTCTTGCCGTGAAGTCTTAACCCCAGCTCATTCGTGTGAGTGAGAATGACATCTTGATGTCGAACCGCCATCTGCTCTTGACTGAGCTAATATCAACCAATCGTCCATGTGGTTGAGTCGTGAAAGTGTGGGGTGAGAGTGCAAGGCCTAAGGAAGAATCAGTATTGGTAGGCTTTTGCCCCCAAAAGCAAACCTCAGGAACTTCCTATGATGAGGAAGGATGGAGATATGTGCATCTTTTAGATTGATCGTGACACATCAGTCCTCGGACTTGGTCTGAGACACTACCTGTTTGAGTGCGAGTGTGCTGAACTTCAGTCGCATGACTGAGCGGTTCAATAGGCGCAGATCTAAAATAGGACGCAACCCCCCCATCCTTCTTCGGAACAATGAAGTACCGGCTGTAGAACCCGGAGTCTGTCTCGTGCGGAGGGACCACCTTGATGGCCTCCTTCTCAAAGAGAGTAACTACTTCTTATTCTAATTCCAGAGCCTGCTCGGGACCCACTAGCGTGGGGGTGACCCCGTTGAATCGAGGCGGACGAGAACCGAACTGGATTCCGTAGCCTCTTTCTACAGTACGCAGGACCCATTGAGACACATTTGGCAGTAGCTTCCACGCTGCTAAATAATCTACTAAGGGAATCAGTCTCTCGAGACTGATCTCTGGTGTGCCCAGAAC